ACTAGGCACACTGAATTACTGTGCCCACTGTGCTGTGTTGCAAAATAAAGCAAGTCTACTAGGCACACTGAATCACCCTGGAATCACCAGACTGTGCTCACAGCCTCCGTAGGAGGGCACCCTCCCCTAGCAGCAGAACGTATTTTAAGAAAGGCCTGTCTAAAAGCTTCAGGAGGGAAGAAAACCCTCTGGAGACTATAGTCAGAGAAAAAGTTACAAAATGCCATCCCTGGCAGTGTTCAAGGCCAGGCTGGATGGGGCTCTGACCTGGTCAAGGAGAGGTGCCCCTGCCCATGGCAGGGAGGCTGGAGCTGTATGATCTTAAAGGTCCCTTCCAGTGCAAACCATTCTACAATTCTGTGACTAGGATTCTGTGGAAAGTATTTACCAGCATTTTCTATATGTAACACTGAAGGTAAGACAAAATGTGCTATTTCTTTGTAGCAAAACACATTGCCAAGTCTACTGTGGATCACAGAATGGGTAAGGCTGGAAGGGGCACTGGCAGTCATCCAGTCCAACCTGCCTGCTCAAGCCGGGTGCCCCAGAACACATTACAGGATTGTGTCCAGACAGCTTTCAAATATCTCTAGAGAAGGAGGCTACACAATCTCTCTGGGCAACCTGTTCCAGTGCGCAGTCACCCTCACAGTGAAGTTTATCCTTGTGCTCAGGTGGAACTTCCTCTGATTAGTTTCTGCCCATTGCCTCCTGTCTTACTCATGGGAAGTGCCAAGCAGGGCTTGGATCCTCCTGACAGCCTCCCTTCAGACACTTGCTGACGTTGATGAGGCTCCCCTCAGTCTTGTTCAGGCTGAACAGGCCCGGCTTCCTCAGCCTTTCCTTGAGTGAGGTGCCCAGACCCCTGCTCACCTCTGCGGCCCTTTCCTGGACCCACTGCAGAGCCTCCACGTCCCTCTGCTCTGAGGAGCCCAGAGCTGGACACGGCACTTCAGCTCAGCAGGGCCGAGCAGAGGGGCAGGATGGGCTCTCTCCCTGCTGGCAGGGCTCTCCCTGGTGCCCCGGGACACACTGACCTCCTGGCCACGAGGGCCCGGCTCACGGCAGCTTTTGTCCTCCTCAGAGCTGCTCTCCAGCAGTCAGCCCCCAGCCCCTGCTGATGCACGGGGTTATTCCTCTCCAGGTGCAGGGCCCTGCATTTGCTTTTGTTGAATCTCAAAATGTTCTGATTTCTGATTTTGTTGTTAGAGAGACCTACATAGATACTGCATCACTCCTCTGTTTCTTTCCCTAAAATGAAGTATGATCTCTTGCCATTGCATTGTCTATTTCCCTATATATTTCGAATCTCATCTTATTTACAGATGTAGTTGCACTAAGAACTACATGATTACTCCTGATTTATGTACTGTAGCTAACTTTTGAGAAGAGACTTCTGCCATTTCTATGAAATACCAAGGGGAACCTTGCTTAATCACTCCCTGGTTCACTTCTGTTGAATAGCAATAGTTCAAAGAAAACATCACTGATTAAAGAAGAAAATTTAAAAAATTACAGTCATTTCCTTGCCTTAAGTCACAGACATAATTAACAGAAAACTTTAAACATGTGAATAGAATAGTAAATGTATCAAAAAATGTTTTTACATAGGAATGAAGTTCAGTGACTTGATCTTGAACTGTTCATTAATTTTTAATCATAACTTTTAGTGTCAGAGATTATTTTGTATTGTTTCCAGAGGATGCAGGTTGTCTCTGATGAATTTCAGGAATATAATCACTAATTTTTAATGGAAAATTATTTTCATCCAAGCTAATACCCTATTAAGGATTATTAATTCCAAATGCTGCCATTTGCTGCCAGAAAATGTGTCAAACGAAAGAAAATTAATGTTCTAATGTATTAAACTGGGTAACTATTTCTTTAGATGCTTGCTTTACCTTTTCTCACGTTTTTTTAGCAGAGTACTGTTAATTACTTTTCTCTGTCACAATATTTATTTAGCCTGATTTCTTTTCCACATTCTGCTTTCACCAAACCAAGGTGCACACAGATATTTAAATGGCCCAAATCAAATAGAAGTGAAAATGAGAACTATTTGCAAACATATATGGTAGAGAGAAATGGTATTTATATACTAATAATATTTATTATACTACTATTTATAATTCTAAGACCATCACCCTTTCTAGATTCCTTGATAAGTTTCCCTCTTGCTATAGGAATAAAAAAAGAACTAGCTGCGGCTCTTCTTCCAGCATCAAAAATAAGTAAGTTTTAGGGAACCTTGAGTATTTTAGGAGTATTTAAAATAGGAAAATATATCTGTGATAAGACCAGCAGGAATTGATACCTGAGACTCAAAAATTTGTAACAGATGACACTCTGTGTTTTGTTTCCTTCTGTGTATTTTGTTTCCACCATCATCTTTGTTACACCTTTGTTAAAAAATATGACCATTAACACCTGGTAGACAACCACATGTGCAATACAGTATTTACATTAAAAGGACAAAAATACTAGTAGCCTAAGAAAGTTACAACTCCTATTACTATAAATATGAAACAAACTATTTGTTACTCAGTGTCGGATTTTTTCCGTTTTCCTCAAGAATGTGCAAAACACTTAGGTTACCCATGAGGCAAAAACCAGCAATTGATAATGTACTTCATTTACTTCCTGTCCTTTCATGAAGTGCATTTACTTCATGTACTTCCACAGAGCTCTTGTCTTGCAAGACATTGCACTGATTTTCCTGAAGATGGAAAACTGTGATTTACAGCAAAGCAAGCTTTCCTTATCTCCAGGATAAGGGGGAACCTT